ATAGTTTAAAGGACCAAATTTTGAAAATTTTGGCCAAATATGGCAGGCAAAACCGGGTCATCCGGTTTGGAACCCTACCTTCAGTTCATTCACTCGAAAATAGATTCTTATTATTAAACTTTTGACAATGTGTGAATTGTAATTTAGGGTATATTGTATCATAAGCAAACTGAATCACCCATCGAGGGCTTTCAGCCAATAATATTTGAATTTCTCTTATTTTTTGGGAACCTTCAAAGCCACATGACTATACAACAGCATAAGCGAGTTATGTGATTTTGGAAGATTAAAAACGTGATATTTGAATAAGATAATTAGTTACACGTCCAGGCAATTTTCCTGCAAATACCTTACGGTGTAAGGGGTATAAAATTTCATATGGACAAAAATTTTTAATAGGAATAGTAGTGAGCGAGGGGGAAAGGTGTAAGTAACACAAAAATTGTGCGATTTGACCAATCAAATTTTATAATAAGTTTATCTTGAAATTTGATTTATCAAAATCGTACAATATTTTGTTACTTACACCTTTTCCTCTCGCTTCACTCTGATCATTAAAATTTTTTAATATTATAGAGCTACAAATTAATAAGCCTGTAGCATCACTATATCAAAATAAAAAGTCGTAAAATAATATCATAAAGGTGCAAAATGTTTATATGTCAAAATAATTATCTGTAGCAAACTTAATAATAAATTTTTTAAACAAAAGATATGGATTTTTAATTATCATACTTCAAGACGACAGACTGGCCAAATCCACCGTGACTAGCATTTACTACTTCGCTAGAAGAAATTCTGGACCCAAAGCCTTGAACAACGCCATCAGCAATAAAAACTGTAATATCTTCAAACCTATTATCTTTGGTATTTTGTAAATAACAAAGTTCTTGTATTATCCATTCTCTATTGGAATTCATAATCTCTCTTAATTTGTCCTCCCAACTATCTTTAAAATTTTTTCCCAAAATAACATCTCTACCTCTAATTGAATCACCTGCTTTGAGGACCGCTTTATGTTGTTCAAAAAAATTAAGATTCTTTGATAAGTCATTTTTTGACATTACGTAAGTTTTAGGAATAGCACCAGTTGTGTCTCTATCACTTAGGATGGCTAAAAATGATTTGTCACCAGCTATAAACATACTTTCAAATGAAGGTAGTTGTGGTAATCTTAAGTTGGCTAGCTTTAATATCATATCCGAATGATCTACCAATCCTGTATGGGCTTTCCAAAATATTCCAGTAGGTGCAAAATTGATAATATCTTGGAAATTAACTTCACTGAGGTTGAAAACTTTGATTTCTCCACCCATGCTCTCAATTTGTCTAATCATTATATCATGTTCTGTAAATGTATCTATAATAATAATGGCTATTTTTGATCCCAACTTATTTAACAAATAAGTCGCTAAAAATATCGATGAGGGAGCAAGAGGAACACCAATTTTTTCAGCTGATGCTTCTTTCTCGATTAAACTTGCAAATGCCCAGCCAGAACTACTTCCTACATTCAGTTCTAATATTTTAAAATTCTTCTCTTGATCCCAGGCAAAATCAAATCTTGCTATATTTATTCCAGCTTGACTATTTTTCCAGAGTGATTTAACAACACCATATCTTGACTCCATCCAAGATTCTACTTCATCTCGCTTAATTACTTCTAATAAAGTTTCATTAGCTAATTTAAAAATAGCTTCAGAAATTTGTTTTAATCTTTCTAATTGTTTTGGAAATAGTACAAAATACGTATCTCTGCTTGTGATTCTTTTTAATAAACTCGAAATATTATCATCTGTCCTTTTTTGCTCAATTGTTGATTTATTTTCGGCTAAGGACATGAGTTCATTCATTTTCGTTTAGTTTGAATATTTAATTGAATTTGAGATTAAAGGGTTTTTATATAATTTTTATTATCGGTTTAAGTTTAATTTTCAACCAGTCGTCTGGTCTTTTTTCTTCTATTTTTAATCTTTATTAGTAAAGTTCAACGTATCAGGTATGCGTACGGTGCAGGAAATCTAAAAACTTCAATCACTTCATATATTCATTGAGATAAACTAAATTTGTCATTCTCGGCTAGGGATGGGCAACATTAACAGTGTAACGGTTGTTTTGGGAGAGCAAAGGGGTTATAGACAAATAGTGCCAATTTGAACTCCAACCGAATACGTGATTGGGGTTTATATAAGCGAAAAAAGAAGTAAATCTATCTAAAAATAATCAAACTGCACAATAAAATAAACTTAAAATGATAATAACTAAAAATGTATGCACCAGAGGGTGATGAATTAAAATGATTTGGGAATGGAATCCGGAAATAAATAATTGATAATGATGTAGAATAATAAGTTAAAGTGATTTAAAACTTAAATATATCAATCTTAAGAACCAGAATTAATATAATCGGAATTGAGGGATGATATCAACGGAATTTGATTTATGGATGCCTTAAAAGATAACTTATATTTTATTTCAGCTATTTATAAAATCAGCTAATGCTGGTGATGCCAAAGGAGGTGGCGACAGTTTACTTTTCACGTTTCAAAATACTTCTTTTCTTTAGGCGAAAACACTTCCAAATGTAAATCATGTGACCAAGTTCCAATTTTCAATAACTTCATTACACAAGAAATCTGAGTCTTAATAAAATCGCTCAAAGTTGCAAGTCAATTCAGTTTGTCAAATTGAGTCTCGAAGGTTTTTATCAAGTTTAAAGTCGAATTTCAAATATAGGTATTCTTCATTACTACTTTTATTTATATGAAGGGACGTGGAAATTATCCAACTTTATTAAAATTGAAGAGTTTATATACATTAAATTTTCTTTGAGCGTTTTCGCTCTATCAAAAGCGAATTCATGCTATCTTAAACATATACATTTTTTTCTAAGTGGTTACGCTTTAATTTGAGCAACTACGCTCTTGGCACAGGATCTACCTATTTGTATAAGCGCTATTTAGAGCGTTCACGCATTTACATGAGATGAGCCACTAAGCCATAATTAATTACCTATTTGGTATAGTTAAAAATCATTCGTTACAACAGGTATTATTACCTAATACTTATTGCTCTTTTCGATTTAGTTAAATCGACGATCTGCATAATTTTTTTTTTGAGTCCGAAATAATTTTCCTATTTTTATCAAATTTTGACCCAATATTATCGCTCTTTTCGATTTAGTTGGATCGACGATCTGCATAATGTTTTTGATGTGAATCCGTGAATAACTACTTTATGTTCGTCGTAGGGGTCTGTAACCCGGGCTCGTGCCTGTGTCCAACAAAAGGCACAGGTTGACCATGGGCACGGGCACAATGCCTGGCATTTGTCTATGCCAAGCATTTTGTTCCCATGCCTTTGTTAGTGTCTGGCACTTTGTGCCCATGCCATTAATAGTGCCTGGCACGGGCATTTGCAGACCTCTCTAGTTTGTCGTATTTTTTTCAAATTAAGAATTCCAAAATGAGTCCCACGAAGATGAAATGATACTCTCATCGTAATCACAGGACTCTGGGGCTCGAAAAAAATTATGCAGATCGTCGATCAAACTAAATCGAAAAGAGAATAATTATTATAATATAGATAAATAATATGCTATTTTAAGTCATTATTATATGCAGAAGGCATGCTAATAAAATATTTTTCAAAATACGTAGACGTTTTAGAATTCTTTTTTTGACAAATAATTTTTAAAAATACGACGAACATAAAGTATATAGTTATCTACGTATCAACTCAAAAAATATTATGCAGATCGTCGATCAAACTAAATCGAAAAGAGCGATAAGAAGATTCACAATTTGTAATAATGAATAATTATTATACGTAATATAGATAAATAATATGCTATTTTAAGTCATTATTATATGCAGAAGGCATGCTAATAAAATATTTTTCAAAATA